GATCGTACTGATGAACGCCTCTTGCCTGTATTCCAAAATATTCGTTCGGCGTGTATACGCTGTCTCAATTTGGTTTTCTCGATCGTGCCGAACCAGGATTGGACTCCCTACGTCCGTATCATCTTCAAGGAGATGATTGACAGCAGACTAGATCAGTTCCCTATTGAGACAGCACAGGGTGTTTCAGGCCTTCTACGATTGTTCTCCACTTGGGCCGCTGCCCCAAGGTCAACGTTCTACTTGGTGCAGCACAATGACAAGGTCTTGACTAAGGTGATTGATTGTCTCGCGGTTGAATCTGCCCGCGATGAAGTGAAGAACTTTATCTTGGATGAGGTTCTCATACCGTTAGTTGGGCAGTCTACGGGCAAAAAGTTGCAGGAAACCGAAGATATGTCTGACTTCCCAGCTGAGCAAATCAAATCTGAAGTCCTCTCTCCCTACCTAGAGCACGCCCTCTTCCATCTCGGCCGTCTTCTCAAGAGAGGCCCCTCGAAGCCCGTTCTTTACTCCGGAGTCAATGCTCTTTCCCTGATCGCCCCCTGCGTCGAATCCTCTAAAGAGACTGCTAGTCTTGTCGGAATTACGACATACATGCTTCGTCAGCCTGCGGATCGTGTCAGCCCCCGGACCAAGTCTGGTTTGCTGAAGATTCTCGAACACTTTTTGCCCTTGTGGGACCCCAAGGAAGATGCTGAGCTTGCCCAACAAGTGTTTGATGCGGTGTGCTCCATGTTCGACTACTTCAAGGATGATGCGAACAGAGAAGTATTGGCTCGGGTTTTTGGTGCTCTTGCTACGCACGACGAGAACCTCAAGATTGTTGCCGACTTGTGTGCAGATCTAAACTCTCGCTCAACTAAAAGACTCGAACCCGATTATGCGAGACGTTTGCAGGCCTTCAGAATAGTCAGCGACGAACTGTCTCAAACTTTGAGCGCGAAGCAGTGGAAACCTCTCCTATACAACATGCTTTTCCATTTGAGGGATGAAGATGAGCTTGCTATCCGATCCAGCGCCTCCTTTGGTTTGAGACGATTCATCGATAGAGCGTCCACGGAGCCAGATGCAGACTTTGAGACACTCATCAATGATGTTCTCTTCCCCTCTTTGCAATACGGCATCCGGCAGAAGTCTGAACTGATTCGCTCCGAAGTTGTCGCTGTCATTGGCTACTTCGTCAAACTCAATCCCACCAGACCCTCTGTGCAGGACATGCACGTTCTCCTCGTCGGTGACGATGAGGAAGCCTCTTTCTTCACCAACATTCTCCATATTCAACAGCACCGTCGGCAACGTGCTTTGCGACGTCTGGCTGGAGACGCAGCTCAAGGCAGCATTCAGGCTACGAATCTGGGCACTATTTTCATTCCCCTCATTGAGCATTTTATCTTCGAGGATGCTGCTGATGAAAATGCCCACAACTTGATTGCCGAAGGTGTTGCGACCCTTGGTGTTCTCTCCGAATGGTTGGAATGGGGTCAATTCCGGGCAAACTTCCGGAGATACCGCAGCTACATGACAAGCAAGCCTGAAAAGGAGAAGAACATCCTCAGACTGCTGGGTCGCATGTCCGATGCGCTGTCTAGTGCAATGAACAGAAAGAAGGGAACAGAGAACCAGGCCGATAGCGAAGATGACAAGATGGATATCGTCGAGCAGCCCATGTGCACGCTCGCCAAGAGCGTTCCTTCTCTTGCGAAGGTTTCAACCGAATTGACCACAAACTTCATTCCTTTCCTGACCAAATACATCCACCACAAGCAGGAAAAGGAGATGAGTATGCGTTTGCCAGCTTCGATTACCACTGTCAAGCTTCTCAAGATTCTCCCCGAAGAAGAACTAGCTATTCGTCTTCCTCCGGTCCTGCTGGATGTCTGCACAACCCTCAAGAGCAAAGCACAGGATTCTCGTGACACTGCACGTAAAACACTCAATGAGCTCGCTCTCCTTTTGGGTCCTGTTTATTTCGGCTATATCCTCAAGGAACTTCGCAACGTTCTTGCACGAGGCTACCAGCTTCACGTTCTCTCATTCACCGTTCATTCCATGCTTGTGACCACCACTGATCACTTCAAGCAAGGAGATTTGGATTACTGTTTGAAAGAATTGGTTGCGGTTGTGATGGATGATACCTTTGGCACAGTCGGCCAAGAAAAGGACGCCGAAGGATACACCAGCAAAATGCAGGAGGTCAAGAGCAGCAAGAGCTACGACTCTATGGAGCTTCTTGCTAAGGTCTCAACTATCAGTCAATTGTCAAACCTAGTTAGGCCTCTACAGGCACTCCTACGCGAAAAGCTCAATTCGAAGCTTGTCAACAAGCTTGATGAGCTCATGCGAAGAATCAGCATAGGTCTTCTGAGAAACCCCGACGCCGAAAGTCGCGATATGTTGGTCTTCTGTTACGAAGTCATCAAAGAGGCCTATCGGGACAATGCCCCAGATGCGGGTCCAGCTGCGCCTAAGACTAGGTACGAGGAACGGTTCTTGATCCGATTGCAAGGAGCGAAGCGGGGCGAGCACAGGGGTACGACATCTTCTCATGTTTACAAGCTGACTCGGTTCTCGCTGGATGTGCTTCGTGCTATCCTCAGCAAGTTCAATTCGCTGTTGACAGCTTCTAACTTGTCGGGCTTCATTCCCATCATTGGTGATGCGCTTGTTCAGTCTCAGGAGGAAGTGAAGGTTTCTGCTCTCCGTTTGCTCTCCACGATCATCAAGCTTCCGCTGCCAGAGATTGACGAGAACTCACACGTTTATTTCACCGAAGCAGTCAAACTTGTCAAGGAGTCTCCTAGCACCAACTCCGAAGCAGCACAGGCCTCCCTGAAGTTGATTTCTTCCATGCTACGTGAACGAAAGGACACCAAGCTCCGTGACGGACATCTTGCATACTTGCTCAAGCGTCTAGCCTCCGACATTGAGGAGCCAGATCGCCAAGGTGTGACTTTCAACTTCATCCGCGCAGTCATGTCCCGGAAGCTCGTCGTTCCCGAGATGTATGAGCTTATGGACAACATCGCGACCATGATGGTGACAAACCAGACTCGGTCTGCTCGGGATCTTGCCCGTGGCACCTACGTTCATTTCTTGATCGAGTACCCACAAGCAAAGAGTCGCTGGACTAAACAGCTCGCTTTCTTCGCCAAGAACTTGGACTATAAGCATCAGGCGGGACGACAGTCAGTTATGGAGGCGATGCATGCACTCCTTTCAAAAACTGGCCCAGAATTGGCACAGGATATCATCAGCACCTTCTTCCTGCCTATCGTCCTCGCTATGGCGAATGACGAGTCGCCGGAGTGTCGTGAGTTGGCGGGTACGTTGTTAGGAGAGTTCTTCAACCGTGCGGACCGGGAGCAGATGAAGACTATCCTTACTCCCCTTCGGTCATGGTTGGAGCAAACCAACAACATGGCTCTGTGCAGTATTGGATTGCAGGCCATGCGAATCTACTTTGAGGCCGAGCAGACCGAGAAAGATAAACAGGCTCGCTTCGTCATCGACATCCTCCCCGGGTTGATGCAGCCCGTTCTTGATGACCACGAGAATGGCAACTGGGAAGCTCTTTACTATGCCCTGCAACTTTTCACCAAGCTTTGCAAGACGGCTTCCACGCTTGCTCTGAGCCCGGCATGCGCTTCTATCTGGACTTCTGTTCAAGAGTGCTTATTCTTCCCCCACTCATGGGTCAAGACCTGTGCTGCAAACCTTATCGGCTTGTGGATGGCTGATCTGGCTAAGACAAATGCCGCTGCTGGTTACGCTTCCCTTCCCTTGACTGGAAGTTCCGGTCTCGCCATGGACAAGCCGGCCATGCTGCAGCTTCTTCGTGCCAGTCTCCGCAGTCTGCGTACCCCGGGCATTGCCGAGGAACTAGCTATGCAGAGTGTACGCAACACTGTCTTCCTTGGACGTTGCTGTTCCCAAAACGGACTCGAACTTCCAAAGTTGGCAGGCGAGGATGTTGAATCCGAAGATGAAGACGAGGATGTTGAATCCGAAGATGAAGACGAGGATGAGGATGCTGGCAGTGAATCTGAAGGACAAGCAAAGGAGGCAACCAAGGTGGAATACAACAGATCTGCCATTCACTACATCTTCAAGCAGGTCTCCTCCCTTTTGCGACGGGAAACTGTCTCCGGCCGAGCAAACGCGCTCATCCCCAAGACAGCCGCCATCACGCTTCTTGCCGCGCTCATCCGCCACATCGAAGTTGATCAGATCCGTCCTTCTCTCCGTGTCATTCTCATCCCCCTGCAGCATTTGACGGATCCATCTATCCCAGCGCCACGCTCCTCGGATGAGACCTTCCAGAACACGTATAAGTCTCTCGTCTCCAACTGCCACGAGGTCTTGGATCTTCTCCAGAAGAAATTTGGCACTACCGAGTACGTGGAGCAGATTTCTAGGGTCCAGGCGGCCATCAAGGAACGTCGTGAAGGAAGACGGGCCAAGCGTCGCATCGACGCTGTTGCTGACCCTGAGAAGCACGGACGTGATAAGATGAAGAAGAATGAGCGGAAGAGAGACAAGCGTCGTGAGAAGGGCTTGGAGCACCGTGGAAAGAGACGCGGTTGGTAGAGGATTTGGCATCTCTATTTGCATTTCTCATGAAATGGTGTTATTGGCATACAAAAAATCGGGCGTTATGGTGGAATGGATTACTACATTATACTTGCATTGTATATACCTTTTCAGAACAATTTGATGTCTTCTGTACAAATCTTGTGTTTTCTGAATATGTCATGTAGCCTTTTTAAAAGATTATCTTGTTCTTGAAATTAAGGGGCTTGACTGAGAATTGAGTCAAACTGATTTCTAATGTACAAAGTCCCCAATATATCCTTTTTCTCGTTGATGCTTGGATCCTGCCATGCTGAGTGAGAGTAGAGAGTCTTCATCGCCATAATATACACGCCCGACGAGACAAATGAAACACCTGATATGCACCGAATCCACCAAGAATCCATGCAAGAACCTCATTTCAAATGAACTTAAGCCGGTTTATCATCATCGCGTGCTCCTAGGATTTCTTTACCCTCCAAGTCATAACTCTTCACAGACCCATCCTCCCAGAATTCCAGGTTGCCCTCGGTGTGGCCATGGGTCAATGTCTGACCCTTTTCCTTCAAAATATCCTCTAGGGTTGTCTTCTCTTCAAAGAAGACACCAAGGTGATCACTCATGACATGGCGCGAGTCACACGAGGGACATTGGATAAGGACAGTTCCACGGTGGTAGCCTTGCTTGGACATGCGGTGCGCAGACCGATGACCACACGGCTTACAGGTGAATGTAATACGGTAAGCTTCCTCATTCTTGCGACGCTCCTGGTTCAAAGCCTCCCATTCAGCCTCTTGCTCCCTCTGGCTCTTGGGTGATTCAGTGAGAGGGCGAGGAGCGCGGGAGTTGTATCGGAGTTGAGTCTGGGCGAGGATGCGGTGCGAGCGAGGGAGAAAAGATGATGGGCGTGCTGAGTTTAGAGAGAGAGATTGTGTTGAGAGGAAGCGTGAGGATTGTGTACGCGCAACCGTAGTGTAAGACTGTGCTTGCGACACAAGGGCATTCAATGGGCGGAGACCCAAGGTGAAATGGCGCATGGTGATAATGTATGAAGGTATTTAGAAGCTGACAGTGAAAGAAGCTCAAAGATAATAGAGATATTTGCAACTCAGAGAGAACTTGGGGAAGGGAAAAGAAAAAAAAAAAAACACCAGTGAAATGACGATGCTCGGTCAGCGACAGGCGGAACTTTAGAATTTCCGGGGTTGGCCTCCGCGGAGAGAAGAGCGCAGTTCTCCTTCACCTTTTTTTTCCCCCCCCTTGAGTTCTCTATTTACTTCTTTTTCTTGGCTTTACTGTAGCCTTCAATATGGCAGCAATGAGGGCTCGTCATAAGATTCGAGCTCCCCGAAGAGTTCGTTGACACCGCGGGGTCAAACCCATGAAGCTATCCACTAACTATACTTCTAGGGAGTCTCCCATGCCAATACCGAAGATTTCGATTCTATATGGACAGTTCTCTCATCATCATTGACTGAAATTAATACCAAAAATGCATCAACCCTAGCATTCGAAGAGATCTACCGCCATGCCTACAAGATCGTGTTGATGATGCGGGCTCCTGATCTTTACGAACAAGTCAAACAGCTAGAGCAGGACTGGCTGAAAACCAATGTCCGAACCCACATTGTCGATTCAATTGCTTCGAGCCTCGTGCGTGCGCAAAAATCGACCGATGCGCATGACCAGTCGAGTGAGAGGAGGGAAGCGGGGGAGAAGTTTCTCACAGTGCTGAAGGATGCTTGGGAAGATCATCAATTGGGTATGGGTATGGTTACCGATGTCCTGATGTATATGGTGAGTTTCTCACACCCTACCGTATTGCTACAATGCTCTAACTTCCTGCGCAGGACCGTATGGTAGCAAGTCGTACTCACCCACCCATCTACGTTGCCTGCATGGCTCTATTCCGAGACCATGTCCTACGAGCTCCTATCCGTGCCGGCTCTGCTTTGACCGTTATGGATGTACTCGAATCCACCACACTATTCATGATCCAACTAGAACGTTCTGGGCACATTATTGAGCGGCCGCTCATTCGGCATTGCATCCAAATGTTGGAGGGCCTCTACGAAACTGCTACAGAGGAGGAGAGCTCAAAGCTTTATCTAACGGAGTTTGAACCAGCCTTTCTCAAAACGAGTAAGGAGTTCTACCAGGCAGAAGGGCAACGGCTGTTAGAAATCGGAGATGCTGCCACGTTCTGCCGACTCGCAACCCAGCGGATCACTGAAGAAGAGGAACGTTGCCGTTATATGCTGTCGGTTGTGACAGAGTCGAAGGTCCTCGAGTTGCTTGATGAGCAGCTAATCCGGAACAATATTGAAGAAGTTGTCAACCTTGAGGGAACCGGTGTCCGACGCATGCTGGATCACGATCAGTTGGAAGGGCTACGGAATGTTTACATGCTCAATAAAAGAGTCGACAAAAAGAAGCAAGCTTTGACGAACATGGTCAACAAGCGGATTGTGGAAATGGGCAAAGAAATCAATGCTTCGTCTATACTCTTACCACAAGCCCCAGCCCGATCCGCAGAGAAAGATGGTGAAAAGGAGAAAAAGCCCGAGAAGGGGAAAGATAAAGAAAAGCCTCAGAATCAGCAAACGGTATCAGCAATCCGCTGGGTCGATGACATTCTCGGCCTCAAGCGGAAATTCGATGACATTTGGGAGAATGCCTTCGCGTCCGACCAGGGCATGCAGGGCTCAATTGGCGCCAGCTTCGCCAACTTCATCAACATGAACCCGCGAAACTCTGAGTACCTGTCTCTCTTCTTTGATGAAAACTTGAAGAAGGGCATTAAGGGAAAGACAGAAAGCGAGGTAGACGTTCTGCTGGATAACGGAATCACATTGTTACGTTACATCAAGGACAAGGATCTATTTGAGACCTATTATAAAAAACATTTATCACGCCGTCTTCTGATGAAACGCTCCGTCAGCATGGATGCAGAGAGACAGATGATTTCTAAGATGAAGTTAGAGGTCGGTAACCAATTTACTCAACGCATTGAGTCCATGTTCAAGGATATGACCATATCGGAAGATCTTACCACCAGTTACAAGGAGCACATTGCGCGCAGTGGTGATCCTGATCAGAAACCTGTGGACCTGGAGATCAACGTTCTCACCAGTACCATGTGGCCGATGGAAATAATGGCAAGCAAAGAGGGAACAGTCCAATTGCCTTGCATTTTCCCCCGAGAGATTGATACACTGAAGCAAAGCTTTGAGAGGTTTTATCTCGACAAGCACAGTGGCCGCAAACTTTCATGGCAAGCTAGCATGGGCACTGGCGATCTTCGAGCCACTTTCGTACGCCCCAATGGCAAAGCCCAGCGCTATGAACTCAACGTGTCAACGTTTGCCATGGTCATTCTGTTATTATTCAACGACGTCTCAGATGGCGAAGCTCTCACATATGACGAAATCAAAACTCGCACCCGGATCCAAGACCACGACCTAATCCGCAATTTGCAATCGCTCGCCGTTGCACCGAAGACTCGAGTCCTGAAGAAGGATCCTATGAGCAAGGACGTAAAACCCACCGACCGCTTCCTTTTCAACCAGGATTTCCATAGCCCCTTTGTGAAAGTGCGTATCGGAGTTGTTAGCGGCGGTGCGAACAAGGTCGAGAATCAAGATCAACGCAAGGTCACTGAGAAGAAGATGAAGGAGGAGCGCGATGGTACCATCGAAGCTGCCATCGTCCGCATTATGAAGTATGACTCTCTCTCTCTCTCTCACTCACTGTCTCTATATATAACACATGTATATGATCTGACGAACTGACCTCTGGCAGACAACGCAAAACCCTTACTCATTCTCAACTAATGACTGAAACCCTTTCACAACTCTCCGCTCGCTTTGTTCCAGACGTTAACATGATCAAGCGTCGCATTGAGAGTCTGATTGACCGCGAATACCTGGAGCGAGTCTCCGAAGAGCCCCCCACCTATGGGTATGTCGCATAAGGTTAGACCGTTTCCAGTGATGGTATCCGCCTTTTCTTCGGTTTACTCATTTGCTCTGATTTGTTATGATTTTATGATCTGGGATGTCCTCGCATCTCAGTGTTTGTGTTTGCTTTCAGGTTGTGTTTGCGTTCTCATTTCTCTGAGCTTAGCGATTGGCGTCTTTTAAGGGATTGAAAGAAATGAAATAGTCATAGAAACCCATCTCATCTGATGTCTGATGTTTACGAGGCCAATGGAAAACTGCCTTGGCAGGACATGCATAGTATCTCTCAACTGTCTACATCACAGAAAGAAGAAAATATATCATAAAATAAACCAAAGAACGCCACTCCGCTATGATAAAGTCGAGAATATCAAACCCCAGTCCAGAAGACTCAAAATATCACAATAATTCTACCTCTCCTCTCCCCCAAGCCCCCTTAACCCCTTCCCATCTCACAACCCAAACATCCCCCATCCGCATCGTAACCCCCGTCTCATATTCCTCCTCCTCCCCACCAACAACAACAGGAACCTCCGCCCCAAGACACCGAACAAAAACAACCTCTTTCAACTCCGGTCCCTGGATCATACTCGTCCCACCGGCATTATCATCCAACCGCCTCAGCTGCCGCGGGAACGCCCCCATAAACGACCCCGCGTAGTGGCCCGCCAGGAGTGTCTGATGGGCATGCAGGAAGGTCGATTCCGGCTCTGACAGCGGGGCCAGATCCGTCAGCTCTGATATATCTGGTACGGAGTCCTCAGGCTGCTGGTTCGGGTTCTGTGAGGAGGCAGTAGATTGTGTTTGTGATGCGAGGGGGTTTTTGTTGCGTGAGGCGAGCAGCACAAGGTAGTGCATGCTGTATTTTGTTATTTTAGCTAGTCGAGCTCGCAAAAGACTGCGCACTATGTATTGACTGCGGGCGAGGTCGGTCTGGAGTATTGAGAGGCGGAGGTTGAGGTTGGGGTTGTGCGTGTTCGCGGTTGTTGGGAGGGTTGTTTCTGACGACGCGGCAAGATCTTCAATTGTTTCAATCTGTAGATGGCGGATGGTATTAGTGATATGTTTTGGAGGAGATTTGCAGTATAGCTGCCGTGTAGGTGCTGTATACCTGTATCCGCACGCGGTCCATTATGCGCTCCATCAGTGGCGCCGGCCACGGTAGTACCTCCGACACGGCGCGTTCGGCTACCCAAAAGCGTGTGAGCAGCTGGTGGTCCAGCGCTGCAGACTCCGGGCTGGCGCCTGGGCCGTGGTCCACTGACGCGAGAATGTCGTCGATATCCATGAGCTTGGAGGTTGTCGCATTGAGGAAAATGTAGGGCGGAGCGGGATATAGGGCGGAGATGGGGTGCCTGGGGCACTAATCAGCCCGCTATATCAAAAGATCAAAGTTCGAATCCATGTTCGTGAATCAGCGAGGCTGGTTTACAATTGACAATTGAGCTTTTTAATTGGTGAGTTTGACTGGCCTAATCTCAAAGTATTTGTCAATTGGATCTTTTTTCCGAAACCGGGTCGATATCCCAATAAATCAATTAGAGCCAGTCAACTATGAAAAACAGTGTAATTCTAACTCGGATCATTTTATTCAAGTCCAGTTGACCATTCAAGATATGTCATTAAGGAGAAACAATGTACGAGAGAACCCATAACTTCATAACCCCAAGTCCCATTCTTTCAGGGATCTCAGGCAGACCAAATGCTTGAACTTAGCTGAACTTCAGTTAAATGTGACATGAAAGACATGAGAAAGCATTAAGTAGTAAAAGAGAAAGAGAAAAAAAGATAACATCCACCCATGCGGGTATACGATCAAAGATCAAATCAAAAAAAGACGTCCGTGTTTCGCAGTTAACAACGCCATAAACCATTAACTTCCGGCATATTTATCGAGAGACATGCAATATCGGAAGATGTTCAAAGCCATGTTCATTAAGCTTTGGAAAGATGCGCAGAGTTTAGTCCTTGTTGCCGTTGGGCGGCGGGCCAGCAGGCGGCGCATATCCATGGGCACCGTACGCATTCGGAGGCTGCTGTAACTCAATGCCTTGCTGCTGTGGTGGTGCGCTTTGCGCACCAAAGTAGCCATGGTGCTGAGGGTTGGGGCTGTATTGTGGGGGCGCATTTTGCTGGTAGTAAGGATCGCCGTAGGGAGGTTGTTGGTATATGGGTTGATTTGGCGGAGGAGGTCCCGGAGGAGGAGCCATCCATCCAGTTCCTGTGAGAGGGCGCTGGCCATGGGTTCGGCGGCGGCGTGCGTTGAAGCATCTGGAACAAGGCTTGTTAGGATCGGGAGACATCGCGTGGAAGAGAACGGAGTGATACTCACGCAAAACTGAAGAAAAGCAGGAAGGCTACCCCAACGATCACGGCGAACGCTACCCAGCGACCCCAAGAATCCCAGGTGGAATAGCAATCATCACCTCCATAGTAACTAGAGCTGTGAGGGATCAGTGATATGGTCTCTTGACGGGTTGTTATAGTACTCACCAGTATCGAGGGTGTATGACTGGCATGATTAATTATTTGCAGAACGGAAGAGATAAAGTGAAGAATTCGAAATCAGAGAGAGAAGAATGTTATCCCGGAGGATGTGAGATGGTCGACGTCAATGGGGGGCTGGTGAGAGCGGTGGGTCCTTGGCACTTTAGGCTGCAGTTTCGGGAAGGAAGGTACTGTGACTTGTTTGGCCACCTTATTTTGTATGGTGGTGTCGGTACCAGTACTTGATACTTAATCAAGAAAATGTAGAATAAAGAAAATTACTACAAAGAGTAGAAGGAATATCTGTTATAAAAGAAGAAGCAGAAGAAGCAGAAGAAGCAGAAGAAAACGAAAACGAAAACGAACAAATTCCAATACAAAAATGGGCTGGGGTGGCGCAGTTGGGGCGCAGGGCTGACGGAGGCTATACGAGTACCTCGGGAGAGTACGGAGTATACGACCTACATAGTACATACAACATAGTACTCCGTAGATATAGTATTATTCTTATATTAAACACTATATCAATACGCACAGTGCGTATTCACTTTGATTCTCATATAATTCGATATCTTTATTACACCCCTAACTGATGATGTACTACACTTTCATAGGTACTTCTTCAAGCTTAAGCACAGTCGATCAATCTAGACCGATGCTCCATTGCAATCTGTTGACTAAAATCAGCAATCATGAATCAATAAATCCCTCTTATTAACTAACCGGTGGAACGGATGGCGGCACAGTCGGCAGTGCGGTGATACTCGACCCGACTTCACTTTTCAAATCCAAACTCGTTTCTCTCTCAGCCACCCCATTAGCGTCCTCGTGGGCCGTCTGTACCGAGAGAACATGGATCCGGGGTGACATGTCAGGTTTTGTTTTGAACGAATATGTAGGCAATACGTCGAATGTCTCCTGTACCCAGGACATCTGCCTCTCCAGGTCCAGCCTGGAGAGGCTTGTGTTGCCCTTGTTTTCGAAGGGAGTAGAAGACTTGGTTCGGAAAATGCTGCTGGGCCAGTCTCTCGCCTTGGCGATCGGGAGTGTACAGCACGCATTCTTGGATACGCTATCCCAGGCTTCGACTACGCGGTCCGTCTTGAGAAACTGGGATATCTGGTCCTTCATGGTCTCTCGGCCACTTGTAAGTTGGTTGTGGGCCTCTTGTCGTGCTTGTGTGGGTGATTTGACTGTGGATTGTCCGGTTCGAGGGCGTGGGGTGGTGCAGAATGCCCGGAGTTGCTCTATAGAGATGTTGCGTGAGAGTCGTGAGGGTTCTGAAGGTGCGGTTTTCGGTCGAGCTTGGGCCAAGTCGATTTTCTCGCTAGCAGATCGTTTGGGTAGGAAAGGCTTGGAGAGCTTGCGTTTGAGCCTTCCGGATGTCGATGGAACGGGCGGTGGTGGTTCGTTGCTGGCGCCTGCGCCGGCTTCTGCTATAAGAGCACTGCATGATCTGGCCCGACTCATAATCCTGTGCCGAATGCCATCGCTCGGGGTGCATTGGCCCGCAGGGGTGTCGGGTTGGTGTTTAGCTGTCGCAGGAGGGCTCTCAAACTGCTTGGAAGCCGTTGGTGTCCTCTTTGGCCTTGATAATGGATCGTGCGGAAGAGGTTTTTCTGATACCGGCCGTGCTCTATCAAAGAGTCTTTGTTTGACTGACTTGTTTCGATCTGCAATCTTGCTGGTATATTTAATAAACGATCGCTGTGATAGTTAGCGCTATTTTTGAAATTGAAAGCGAAAATGAAAATGAAAATGAAAATGAATCAAGGCCTATGAACTCACCACATCCTTTCTACTCGCTATCCCCACCCGTCGTTGCATTTCAGTAGTCGCTAAGCCAAGTTGAGTCAAGGCCTTCTGAAGAGCAGTGCCCCGTCGACGAAGTTTTGAGAGGGCGACAATCCAGCCCTCCATATTGTCCACCATGGCCTGATGAAAGTCTCTGAGGCTCTCGGACTTGAAGCAACCCTCGTCTGTAAGTTTGCGGAAGTAGAACCACAGTGCACCCAAGGCCTCCTTTGCCTTTTGTAGGTCTTTGAGAGAGTCTGTGATAGCAAGGGTGAATCTGTCAATGGAATGTTCAATCTGATCATTATAGGACACAACTGATAGTCGGAAATTCCGGTCTCCCAGCATCTCATCGAAAACATCGAGGTTTCCCAGTGGTAGACTGAGATACTGAATTCGAGTGCGAACATCTAGTCGGACGATCAAAAAGTCTTCGGTGGTCCTTTCCAAAAAGCCATCCAACTCATTGACATGTTTCTGTAGAATCTTCATAACTGAGGCTTCGGATTTTGCCAGGCTCTTGGCTAGGAGGTGAACTCCGAAGACCATTTGGGAAACCAATTTCCAAAACGGATGATATCTGTATGGTGGGGTTAGTTCAATTTGATCATATACTTGACAAGGTATCGAGTTCCCACTTTTCAGAGGCCCTTTGGCGCCATTTTCGCCCACAGAGCCGCTCATATTCATCATTCTCTAACAGATCGCGCCGCCGTGTTTGTGCGTCAATATCAACCACCCATTTAGTTGCTGAACCATCGGTCGTTTCCACGATTGATTCTTCAAACGGGCCCTGGAGCTGGGGGATGGGATGAGATGGGTAAGGAGTGGATGTTCTTTGGGTGACTGATTGCTTATTTACGAGATCCTCGGGCGTGTGAACGGGAGTCTCGGTAAACTCCATTGTGATATATCACACGCGCACGGTTCGATATCCCAAGTATACGATCTCCAAAGTTGAGATTGCACCCTTTAGATATAAGAACTTCCAAGTTGCAAATTAGACAATATGTTTTTTGGCCCTATCCATTTATAAAAAAATCACAATTGCAACCAGCTCAAAGTGGCCTTAGTCATGGTGAAGATGGGCTGGACTGAAGATGGCTGGTGTCGGGAATCATGCAAGGTATTACTTTATATCGGATCAGAGAGATAGAGGGAATCAATAGAAGTGGATCTGACTTACTCTGAATGTTCTGAATACTCTGATCTCTGTCCTAAGTTGTGTTTCACTGGTGAAACTGTCTCCAGGCATATAAACAGGGGGGGGGGGGGGGGGGGNCCTTTCAACAAAAAATATCGGAGAAGACGCCAGTGGAAATGACTACTAATTTCAATCTTTTTTGGTCTTTGTCTTTATTATGGGGCTGTTATTACGTGTATCGTGTAGCCAGGGGGGAGTCGACATCTTTTGTTCGGCATATTTCCACTTATTCCCACTTTGACACACCCAATCAGCCAATAATCATCCATCCATGCATCGTGGAAATGAATCCAATCAGACCTGGACTGAGACGATCGAGTCTGAGACCACGGCACTTAATTTCGGATCAATAGTTGTTCCGGGATTAGTTCCGGGTATATTCTCCTTTACTGGACTCTCCATGTATATATCTATGGATAATATAGAGACATCTTTCGAATATTAGAAGTCTGAAACGTGGCAAATACGAGACTTGGCAAGTATATGATGTGGCCTGACATTAGGGCAGTTCGTGATCGCCTTACCCTCCTAGTCTTTTTTAGTACTTAATGAGAAAGAGGGAAATAGGAAATGATATGCGGAGTAGTGCGATCGGCAAGTCTAGAAGTCCATTGTAGAAGCCGATAACTATAATACGATTGTTAGGACTTTCAAGTGCCTCAGGCTTCTATGCAGTGAGCTTATACTTCATATGCCTACAGATTATATCCATGCCCAGGTGGATATTGTGAGTTCCATACGATCACTACAAATATACATCGTAGTGTTTCAGCTGTGTTTACTGTGTTTACTGTGTTTACTGTGTTTACTGTGTTTACTGTGTTTGCTGTGTTTGCTCGTTTCGTCATCTAAGTTGTTTGATTGGTTTGCTCAATTTACCCTCAAAGGTTATACCTCCACTTCTGCTCTTTCTCTCTTCTCTGTTCTTTCGTGTTTTGCATGGATTACACTTTTTCTTTAAAGGCCTGGCAGTTACCACGTCAGATGAGTGTCTAAGTTCATCGAATTTACAATCTAATCCCTTCCAAGTCTATCGACTGACCTGTTTTGCCCTCAAGGCATGGTTTTGGGGTAATGTGCCTTGGCATTTGATTTCACCTTGGCTGTGACAGCCGCAAGTTCGCTAGTGATGAAGCCAAGCTATATACACATCCCTTATTCTGACTACAATACACAGTGTGGCCCTCTGTTGACTAGTATTGCCTATAATTGCTGTCGCATGGAGCAAGAGCACAGGGATGAATTGACTGTTGCCATAACGTTTTCACTACTACAGGAACCCTATACCTGGTGCTCGAGGCGTATTCCTATTACTTGGAGTGCAGGCGATGTCACCTTTATATAACGCTATTAACACACATATATAAAACATGTATGGATAGCATACTCCGTACAATATTCAACTTCCACAGAGTAAACATATAAACATAGCACGCCATAATGATTTTCTTTGCGGAAGGGGACATCCTTGTCTCTTTGCAGCCTATAGCTCTTGGCAGCCAATGGAGATCGTTGTTGTTTTTTTTGGTTGCAATTAGAGAGACACGGCTTCCCAGGTACAATCTAGCGCTGTCGATCTTTTCCTATCGCCCAATTCAGTCAAATGACTGAACTTCCAAGAACTTCCAAGAACTCTTAGTGGACCTTTGACTCTTTTCCCCTCCAAAGGGACATCCTACCTTCCCCGGAGCTCCCACGGAGATCAATTAACACCCCGGTTTACATTTCACCGACCTTTTTTTTTTTCCCCAATCATGGATTGCGTGAACACCTTATCATGTACTCCGTACGATTACCAGCTTATTTCCCCTCTTCTAGGACTATAAGTATCCCCACAAGCCCCCCTGTAATCCGTACTTGTAACAGCGAATAGCCCATTATGCGTGTCTCCCACTGGATTCCATTCCTGCCAGCTGTAGTGGCGCTCGCAGTGCCATCGGACGATGGCTTAGAGCGCTTGGAGGCCCTCTTCCGTCGCCAGCTACCCGAGCACCCAACAGGCGTCAAAACTATCAAGACGGCTAATAATGTTACTATTCGCTATAAGGAACCTGGCAAAGAGGGCGTTTGTGAAACTACTCCTGGTGTGAACTCTTATGCGGGTTATGTGGACCTCTCACCGACAGAACACACTTTCTTCTGGTTCTTCGAGGCTCGCCATGACCCCGAAAATGCCCCAATCACCTTGTGGTTAAATGGTGGACCGGGCAGTGACTCTTTGATTGGATTGTTCGAGGAATTGGGTCCCTGCGGTGTCAACAAGAATAATGAATCTTATATCAACAAGAACTCGTGGAATGAGGTCTCAAATATGCTATTCCTCTCTCAGCCACTGGGTGTTGGTATGGATAGCTTTCTATTCTCTTTTCCCTTTCCAAACATTTAACTAAAATAACCACAGGTTTCTCCTACGCCGAGAAAGCGGCCGGTACCCTCAACCCTATCACCGGTTCATATGAAGACCCGTCCTTTGCAGGCATTGACGGTCGCTACCCAGTCATCAATGCCACTGCAATTGATACAACTGTACTCGCTGCCAAAGCTACCTGGGAAGTTCTGCAGGGATTCCTAGGTGGTCTCCCCAAGCTGGACTCGAAGATCAAGTCGAAGAGCTTTAATTTGTGGACCGAAAGCTATGGAGGGTGAGTTCACTCCGCCTTTGAAATCCCCGTTGATGTATCATTACTGACTTCTTTCAGACACTATGGCCCTGCCGTAAGAAAATAGCCTGTCTAATTCGTATTTCATTCACTAAAGTGCTAACACTGGCAGTTCTTCGATCACTTCTATGAAGAGAACCTCAAAATTGCCAACGGCACCAAGGATGGGATTCAACTCGACTTCAATACCTTAGGTATCATCAATGGCATCATCGATGAAGGAATTCAAGCCAAGCACTACCCTGAATTTGCCGTGAGCAACACCTATGGCATCAAGGCTGTAAGTCTTCAAAGGCACCATGATATAGTTTCACACTGACAAAGAATATAGATCAATGAGACAGTTTACAACTACATGAAATTCGCCAATGAAATGCCAAACGGCTGCCAGGACCAGATCGCAACCTGCAAGCTTACAAACCGTACCTCAGTATCTGACCTCGCACTTTGCGCCGAGGCAGCCAACATGTGCCGGGACAATGTTGGTATGTAGACTGTACCCATCTACCCATCTACCCATCTAACAAAATAACAAAATAACTAACAAATATCACCAACTCAGAGGGCCCCTACTATGTCTTCAGCGGCCGAGGTACCTACGATATCCGCCATCCGAGCGACGACCCAACCCCAGAAAGCTACTACGCAAACTACCTCGCTAAAGACTCGGTAATGAACGCCCTGGGTGTCGACGTAAATTACACGCAATCCAATGACGAAGTCTACTTTGCCTTCCAACAAACTGGCGACTTCGTCTGGCCCAACTTCCTCGAGGACCTGGAAGACATCCTCTCTCGCCCCGTCCGTGTCGCTCTCATCTACGGCGACGCAGATTACATCTGCAACTGGTTCGGCGGCGAGGCCATCTCCCTCGCGGCAAAGTACAAGCACAGCAAGCAGTTCCAGAAGGCGGGATATGCGCCCTTCCTCGTCGATGGTGTTGAGTATGGTGAGACGAGGGAATATGGTAATTTCTCTTTTACCCGTGTCTATGAGGCTGGTCATGAGGTGCCGTACTATCAGCCAGAGGCTGCGTTGCAGCTGTTTAATCGTACGCTGAATGGGTGGGAATTGCCCAAGGGAGAGAAGAAGTTGAAGCAGAACTCTGGCTCGACTGGGCCCGAGTCGGCGACTCATACCCAGTCTTCGGTGCCGTTGCCTACGGCTACGAAAGCTTCTAGGTTTGGTGAGTTATTTTGAGAGAGGTCCACCGGTGGACCTGATTGGATATTGATGATATTCAATAGCATTGTGGGTTAAGACATTATGTTATGTACGCATTTAGATATAAACAACTACCCCCATAACCATAGCAGATCTAAAGTATACCCCGAATGAGGGCCCCTGGAGTCCAGAAAGCAGAGCCACCCTAGATAATGTACAAAATCATTGATAGAAAACGGAATTGACTGACATTAAGTATTCGTTGGATATGATCCTCATGACCCGTAGCACAGTTGTGGCCCAGGATTTTCGCGAGTATAAAGAAGGGACACGCCTCGTAAATGCAGGTATTTCATCACAATGTAGTGAGAATAAAGAAGGTGATTAAATGAAATATTGACGGCGTGGTGGTACATATCGTCGGTGGGGATTGTTGAATCCCTCGCTGATAATTCATTATTTGGTAGTAGTCTCCTCGTGGGAGTCGCGGAGAGTCTCGGTAGGAGTGTGGGTTTCTGTATGAGGCTTATCCATCTCAGACATTTCATTGGTGTGGCCCAAGACTTCGGCGGCGGTTTCATCGGAGAATCGCAGATCATCCTCGACGGCAGTGCTGTCCTTGACCTTGAAGAAAATCACAGGTGAGGCAACAAGCATACTACCGACCAGCATCCCCCAGCACGAGGCAAATTCGGTCATGTATGCGGTCTCCTTTGCATCCAGGCTGAAACGGTTGTCAGTTACGGGAAGGGTAGAGAGAAGAAGAAGAGAGCAGGGGCTGCTTACCTCCACATTCCGGCAGCGCCAGCAGACTGGATGCCCTTGTAGAAACCAGCAAAGTTGGCCAACTTGCGGCTGTTATTGGAGAGAGAACCCATGTACCAATAAGTGCAGGTCTGGAAAGCAGCGTCGTAGAATCCGTAGAACATGTACAGGAACATGGGTCCGATGTAGCTCCTGTCGGTAAAATCCGTGTCGAGACCCTTGGTTTCCCGGGTATAGCGCTTCTGGAATGCATATCCTCCACCCCAGATGCCCATGGTGATAGCGAGCAGAACTCCAAAATTCAGCTTGGCGCGCCACGGACGCGAGAGGCCCTTCAAATCCAACAACTTGCCAAAAACGAATGCGCCCACCATCTGCATCAACCAGTACAGAAGACTATTCAGGGCTCGAGTGCGAACATTGAAATAGGCGAGGTTGACTGCATTGAAGTGGTATGCGTAGAACCAGTTGCTGGCCAGGAACATTGGGAACATCAGGACAATGTACGAATCGTGAATCAGTGTCTCCCAAAGACCCAAAAACTCGGACTTCCAGGTTGGGTTTTTGATCACAATAACGCGCGAGCCGTCCTTGCGCTGGACGTGCTTGCAATCGACGAGACACCAGCAGAGGACGGATCCAATAGCCATTAGAACAAGGAAGGCAATGTAGGTGCCATTGTTGACGTTGCCGGCAGTCGAGTGCATGTTTTGGCCGAGAGGGACCTGTTGAAATCAGTATATTGTTGTTTGGGGGGATTCAAAGTGTGCAAAATAAACATACCAAGCTACCAATGACACCACCCAAGTTAAAAATCACCCAGAATATAGCAATGTACTTTCCCTTCTCGTGTTCATGTGGATAACTCAACATGACCGCACCCTGAGCACACCACAGCAGACCAGCACAGACACCGAGCAGAGCTCCGGCGAAAATTAGGAAGCCCGCATTTTGATTGATATTGTACGAGAGGAGCGAGGCCACGTAGAGGAAGTATCCGAGCCCACCCAGGGAGAGGGTAAGCCGCAGACCAATGCGATTGGCAATGGAGCCGGCGAAGAAACCGACTACTGCGAAGGTACTGTATAGTGCAGTGTTGGCGTTGTTCACATCATGGGTGTCAATTTGACCGCCACCACCGAGACCGCTGACGGCGTTGAACATTCCGGGACATAAAAAGCAGACAATTGACACCAGATACAATTGCATCTCTGGTGAGGCAAAGTAAGGAGCCTCCCATTTGCCAATCTTGAATAGTGGCTTGTACATCCATGCGGGGCCTATTACCGCTTGGTCCACCACACCTGACTCTGGGTCCTGCGGAGTAGACATAGAGGCAGACATCGACGCATCTTGTTCTGTTGGCCTCTCCGTCTGCTTCTCTTTTTCTTGTTTCTCTGGCTCGGTCATGGTTGTGAGAAACAAGATCTACAGGGGCCGAGGGAAAAAAAAAAAGAAAAGAAAAGAAAAATAGTAGAAATCAACAAGCGAGCCAAGGGGCTCCAGGAATGTTCTCCACGTGAAAAAAACAACCTGAAGAATGGTGAAGAATGTAGATTGATCTCTTTGCCAAGGTTCTGAAATAGGAAGGATTCGGGTTTCTTTTCTTTTTTTTAGGACGAAGCTAAGGCTTTTTAGTAGACAAACTAATATAACCGAGTGACATTGGCTTATCTTGGGGATCCATATTTTTTTTTTCCAATGCGACATACAAGTACATAGCCGATATCAATTGATTGGGGAACAAGAAAAAGATAGAGTCATCATCCAGAGGAGGGGAACCGAAGAAGAGTCATATTATACAATGGGGGAGAGATGTTCCACTTGCAATGCGACGGAGAAAGAGATGTTGCATTTGAAGAAACCCGCATGCGGGTATGTCGCATGCGGGGGACATTTTGATACGGGTATTGTCACGGGTTCTGTTATTTACGGGGGTATTCAACCTGTATGGAATTCTATAAAATACAATATCAATACATCCTAATACATCCTAATACAACTATATAGTATAAAACAGTATCTATATTATATACCACATCGGCATGCCGAATGTCACACAGTCTACTGTTACATCATTGTGCCTGGATCTTTTATCTTCTTGGGTTCTCCCCTCTTCTTCGGTCTGTTTTCTTCCAATCTGATAACCATTTCCCCCTAAAATGCCGGGCAAGACTTCTACCCCGCGCATTACCAAGTTCACCAACTGCCGCCTGGTGTGTGGCTTGAACTTGGTCGAACAAGATCTCTGGATTGACTCTTTGACTGGAAAGATCCTGAAGGATCAAGAGGCTTTCTATGGATTGCACCTGTCTCCCGACGAAATCATCGACCTCGGCGGCCGTATCATTGCCCCAGGTATGATCGATGTCCAGTTGAATGGTGCTCATGGCTTTGATTTCTCCGTGCCCTGTGAGACCAAGGAGAAATACGATGAGGGTTTGCGCATGGTGAACCGTGGATTGGCCCGAACCGGTGTCACTTCCTACCTGCCGACGCTCGTGAGCTCTACCCCCGAGGTATACTGGAAGGTAAGCAAATCGTCAAGTGCCGCTCTAAATAACTTGAACTTCCCTCCAAAAAAATAACAGATAAAGGATATTAATCTTTATGCTTTTAGGTCCTCCCCTCTCTCGGACCAACCGCAGGAACCCATACGCCCCAAGACGGTGCTGAGTCACTAGGCGCACACGCCGAAGGCCCCTTCATCAGTCCCGGCCGCAACGGCATCCACAAGTCCGAAGTGCTACGCGCCGCGGAAACTTTCGATGACCTCATCTACTGCTATGGCGCCGACAACATGGGCAGCGCCAGCCCAATCAAGATGATCACAGCCGCTCCCGAAGTCGGCAACATGATGGCCCACATTCCCGAAATCGCCAAGCGCAACATCATCTACTCAATCGGCCACTCCGATGCAACCTACGAGCAGGCTGTTGCAGCCACACACAAGGGCGCCCGCATGATCACCCACCTATTTAACGCCATGCGGCCCTTCTACCACCGCAATCCAGGTGTCTTCGGTCTGCTGGGACAGAGTGAGCGGCGCAGGCCGTTCTACGGTGTTATCGCCGACGGCATTCATTTGCATCCCACTTCCATCAAGATCGCGTACAATGCGCACCCGGATGGGTTGATCTTGGTTACCGATGCGATGCGTCTGTGTGGTCTGCCTGACGGTGTCTATGACTGGACGAACGGGGAACGAATTGTCAAGACCGGTGCGCGGTTGACACTTGAGGGCTCTGATAAGATTGCTGGGTCATCAGCTACCCTTATCGAGTGTGTTAACAACTTCCGTCGTTGGTCGGGTGCGTCGACGGCTGTGGCTATCAATGCTGTCACTGCGGCGCCGGCACGTCTGCTTGGCTTGGAGGGTGTGAAGGGGTCGTTGGAAAGTGGTGCTGATGCCGATCTTATCGTGTTAGGCGAGAGTGAGGATCCCTTCACTGGGCCAGCCTTGACGGTTGATCAGGTGTGGAAGCTGGGTTCTAAGATCCATGATACCGACAAGGCTGCCACTTTCGCGGTATGAGGTTTCCGATGTTGGATGCGATCTGTTTCTTTTCGGGGTTCTTTAGTCTGCTATTCCAGTCATATGTGCAACAGCTCTTTCATCTTGGTTACAGGCGTTTGGAGGTTGTGGTTTTGCATTGAGCATAGAATGCAAGCGCATGGTCATAGCACCAGCTCCATCTTCAGTTCGAAGTGTTTTGTTTAGATTTCCAATTTCAAATGTTTCAAAAGAAAAAAAGAACCCCCTTTATTCTCGAATATCAAGTTTATCCAAAATCGATTGTATATGTGTCAGATAAATAAAAGATACAGGTCTGTCTCGCAGACGCTGGGGAGTACCAGACTCGGAAAGATGCCCGCATTCAATGGCGATCCTCCGCAACTCTGACGGAGCTGTGCGCCGCTCGCTCATATGCTATAATAAAACCAAAAAAAGATGACCCAAAATGAAGAAGTAACTTTTACATGCATATCAGATCTTTGACGCGTAATAAGCGCCTGCTTTACAGACGGGGCTGGTTGCGAGACCAACCGGCCTCGCCAGCAATCAGCTCGGCGGCACGCTCACCAATGGTCAGGACCGTCAGCATAGGGTTAATGCTAGGCATGTCAGGGAAGACGCCGGCATCGGCGATGCGAATGCCCTTCAGGCCGCGGACCTTCAGGGTGGGGTCCACAACCGCCATGGGGTCGGTGGCAACGTTGCCCATCTTAGTAGTACCAGCGGGGTGGTACACAGTGTGGGCGACACGACGGCCGTACTCCGACAGCTCCTCGTCAGTCTGCAACTTGGGGCCGGGGGCAACCTCGCGCTTGATCCATTCCTTGAAGGGAGACTGCTTGGCAATCTCACGAGCGGCCTTGAGACCCGCCACGATGGTGGCAGCGTCGTAGCCCTCGGGGTCAGTGAAGTAGCGGAAGTCCAGCGAGGGCTTCACGGAGGGGTCGGCGGATGTCAAGAAGAGACGACCGCGGGAGCGGGGGCGGGGAATGTTGGGGGTCATGCAGAAGGCGTTCACGGGCTCGTCGTAGCCGAGACGAGTGGTGTTCAGGGTGAACGGAATCTGGTAGCAGTGCATCATCACGTCGGCGATCTTGCCGTCGAATCCAGCAGCGTCAGGTAGCTCGCGGCGCAAGAAGATACCAGCGTCAGAGTCCATGGTGGTCATGTTATGATCCACGGGGCTGTTGAGCTCCCACATGATGATACTCTCGGGGTGGTCCAGCAGGTTCTCACCAACACCGGGGAGATCCTTCACAACGGGAATGCCGAGTGCGGACAGCTGCTCACGGGGACCAAGACCGGAGAGCATCATAAGGCGAGGGGTGTCGACAGCTCCGGCACAAAGAACGGTCTCCTTCTTGGCACGTAGGGTGTGCTTGACACCAGACTGCAGAGTAACATCAACGCCGGTTACAGTATCACCCTCAATATTAACCTTGCTAACCCAAGCGTTGGTGAGAATGGTCAAGTTAGGACGCTTCTCATCACCACGGAGAATAGGGTGAATGTAGGCGACACTGGCACTGCTGCGGCGACCGTCATCGGGGTTGTAGGAGATGTTGAAGAAGCCAACGCCCTCAGTCAGCTCACCGGTCTTGCGGATGTCATCGTTGAAGTTCTCAATGACAGGGATGTTCATGGCGCTAGAGCAGGCCTGGATCCAGTCCTTGCATAGCTGGTTACGGTGGCGGGCATGCACCGGTTGGATAGTGTTACGCAGGTTATCAATGATGCGGGTGAAGGTCTCGAAGTCCCAGCCCTTGCAACCCTTGGACACCCATTGGCGGCAATCATACTCGAAGGGACGGAAAGAGATGAGAGTGTTGTGACTAGAGCAACCACCCAGGACCTTGGCGCGGGAGTGACGGATATTACTGTTACCTGCGGGGATGGTCAGCACAAGCTTATTTAGGATTCGAGGGAAATAGTGTCTTACCCATGGGCTGCTCGGTGGTACCGTAGTCGTAGTCAAGCTCTCCTCCGAGTAGACTGAGCCATTCCTTCAGGTTCAGAACTCGGTCATCCATGAAATCACTGGGACCTCCCTCAATGACCAGAGTCCGCTTGTTAGGGAGGTACTCAGCCAGGCGTGCCGCGATCACACAGCCGGCGGTACCGCCGCCAACGACAATGTAGTCGTAGCTGTTAACATCGAGGGCGGGGAGCTCGTTAGTGGTGGCCATATTGAATATCGGGGGGGAATAGATAAAGTCCGATGTGGTGAGGAGAAAGGATTGGAGAGGGTTGGAGAAGATTGGAGAAAGAAGGGACCGCCTTTTTCTAAAAGAGAAATTTCAAGAAGGCTGTTTGGGGGGAGGGGGAGGTGGTCTGATCGGAGAAAGGCTTTGGATCCAATCTCTAGCGATTACCCAGCTTCATTCTCTTTTTCTCTTTTTTTTTCTTTTTTTTTTCTTTTTTCCGTTAGACTCGGCGAACCTTTGGGGGCTCTGAGTGGTGGCGATCACTAAGAAGTGGAGAGAAGTCAGCCATGGGGCGGATAATGAGGTCCGACCTTTAACGGTCATCCTTTATCGGCATACCTGTATATTCTAAAGTCAGATATGATATGAGAAAAGAGGATGGTCTGACCAGGATAGGAATTCCCCTTCCGATACTAGTTTCAAGAATATCTGTAGATAGAGATTGTACGTAAGTTTTCGGACTTCCCGAGGTCATGGGCTAAGATATGCCTTTCTCAGTATGAAATTCCCGGTGGGGACTTTCGAGCCATAGGGAGGAAGAAGTACAGGAATCTAGTTGAAGCTAAAAAGCTAACCCCCGCGCAGAAGGGGTGTATGGAGTACATATGTCCAGCCATCTTTCAGCCATCTTTCAGCCACCTTCAGCCGCTGACCGGATGGCGTACTTGGTACTTGGCTGTTACGTATTGATTATGCGTGGCAGTGGGGTACCCGGTACTTAGTTACTTAATCTTACTTTTGTCTTACTTAATCCAAAGATAAGCCATTTTCTTTTTTCTTTTTTTCTTTTTTCGGAGAAATAATTAGGCGGTGTGAATTATTCCCTATCACATCTCTTATCTTTTATTCCCATATTATACCCGTGGACCTTACGGAGTACTTAGGTTATTCATACATATCCAAACATATCATCATGTCCCTTTCCTTCCCACCTCGTCAGCTCTATTACAACGGCAAGGCCCAACCTGCGACCTCCGGCAAGTCATTCCAGACTATCAATCCCGCCACTGCAACTCCGTTGGCCGACATTCAAATTGCCTCCAACGCAGACGTCGATGCCGCTATCACTGCTGCCGATCATGCATTCCCCTCGTGGGCGCAGACCCCGCTAATTGCTCGTGCCCGAATTCTTCACAAGGCCGCTGCCCTGCTACGGGAACGGAACGATGAAATTGCACGCATCGAGACTTTGGACTCCGGCAAGGCCTTTACTGAGACTAGCACCGTCGACGTCACGACTGGCGCCGATGTTTTGGAGTACTATGCCAACTTCATTGGTGGCGGTGGTCTCAATGGCGAGACTACTCAGCTCCGCGAGGATGCCTGGGTATACACTAAGAAGGCCCCTCTGGGTGTGTGTGCCGGTATCGGTGCTTGGAACTACCCCATCCAGATGTAAGTTCTTCCTGCGTTTGCAACAGGGGAAACAGAAGCTGACTTAGATATTTTCTTAGTGCCCTCTGGAAATCCGCTGCCTGTTTGGCCGCCGGTAACACAATGGTCTATAAACCCAGCGAATACACCCCGCTTCATGGTCAGACCCTCGCAGAAATCTACACGGAGGCCGGCCTCCCCGACGGTGTTTTCAACGTGATCAACGGTGCCGGTGATGTCGGTGCCTACCTGACTGGCCACCCACTCATCGCCAAGGTATCCTTCACCGGCCAAGTGGCAACCGGTATGAAGGTCGCAGGCGCTGCCTCGGGCAGCATGAAATACGTGACCATGGAGCTGGGTGGCAAGAGCCCCCTGATTATTTGCCCAGACGCTGAGCTGGAGAGTGCCGTGAATGGTGCCATGATGGCCAACTTCTACAGCACAGGTCAGGTCTGCACCAACGGCACCCGGGTCTTCGTCCCACGTACCATGAAGGCTGCTTTCGAGAAGAGCCTGCTCGAGAAGATCCAATATGTGCGGGCTGGCCCGCTCTTTGACGAGCAGACCAACTTCGGTCCCCTCAGCTCCAAAGCCCACTATGACAAGGTTGTTGAATACATTCGCCATGGTATCGAGTCTGACCGCGCCACCCTACTCTGTGGTGGTGTCGAGAAGCCCTCGCTGCCCAAGGACCTGCAGGCCGGTTTCTGGGTCCAGCCGACCGTCTTCACCGACTGCAATGACTCCATGAGAATCGTTAAGGAGGAGATCTTCGGTCCCGTTATGTCCATCCTGTACTATGACACCGTCGAGGAGGCCGTGCAACGCGCTAACACCACCGAGCTTGGTCTCGCTGCTGGTGTCTTCACTAAGGACTTGAACCAGGCTCACCGCGTCATTGATCAGCTGCAGGCTGGTATTACCTGGGTGAACACGTGGGGCGAGAGCCCTGCTGAGATGGCCGTCGGTGGCTGGAAGAAGAGTGGTCTGGGCGTGGAGAACGGTCGTCGCGGTATTGAGGCTTGGCTGCAGAATAAAAGCACTCTGGTTGATATGAGCGGTGCCGTGGTCAGTGTCTTCGCCAAGCTATAATGTTAATATATCATGCAATGTACGACTCAAAAGCAAGGAGCATAAAATGTACAGAATATAGAACAATTTGAGTGCCACAGTTTAAACAAGCATTCTAGCTCTTCATCTTACTCATGTCACTCAGCATCTATATATATTTACCTACTGAAAGTCTAGAAAGGCATCGACAAGGTTCCAGCTCTCTTTATGTATACCTCCATACCAATTAACATCACGCTACGCAAGAACGTATGGATTTGAATAGTTGGATTAATTGTACACAGCCTGAATTATCCATAGCTAACATATTTCATAATATCACTTGACTCCTAGAAAACGCATCGCATCTATCAAGTCGGAAATAATCGAAATAACCCAGCGAAACTCCTTCGGAAACACCCATGGACCCTGTAAGCCAAAGCAGTAAAAGAGACCATGAAGATATGATTTGCAAAGACGGAACCCATATTTCCGTTCTTCCATAAAAAAAAACTCGAACCGAAAAGAAAAAAGAAAAAACACCGAATGAAGATGCCACAAATTTGAGAGGTATTCACCATTAGAGTGTGGTAATTCGAGTGCCCATGCGGTCAAATATAAGGTCGCTCTTCAACGCACCGTCGATACCGCCAATGGCCGAGTCGACCAGGCGTGAGGACATGCTGTCCGGGGTGAGCTCCTCTTCCTCCAGTGCGCGGCGTTGTAGCTCAGTGTTGATACGGAGATCCTTAGGCACCTTCTCGGGTGTGCCATCGGGGGTAGGCTGTTGGGACTTGGGCGCCTTAGTTGGAAGTGGGGCCGGGACGTAAGTCCGAGGACGGTAAACGAGAGCCGGACCCTGGGTGCGGGCATCGGTGCCAGCCTGCTCGATTGATTCGAAGTATCGCACGGTCTTGACCTTGAGTTCGAGAGTGGCGTCGCGATCGCAGACTATAAGCGGGTGCTGGTGCAGCTGCAGAGCGGAGAGTGTCCACATGTGGTTCACGCCGTCCTCCAGGCCCTTCTGCACGGCAAAGGCCTTGTGCGCCCCGGTGGCTACAATCACTACTTCCCGGGAATCCATGATAGTCTGAATACCAACAGTCATAGCCATGCGGGGCACCTTGTCTGTGTCGCCGCCAAAGAAGCGGGAGTTTGCCAAAATGGTGTCGTAGGCCAGTGTCTTGACGCGCGTGCGGCTGCTCAGTGAGGAGCCCGGCTCGTTGAACGCGATGTGGCCGTCGGGTCCGACGCCACCCAGGAAGAGCTCGATGCCACCATAACGGGCGATCCGTGCTTCGAACGATGCACACTCGGCTGCAAGATCGGTCGCGGTGCCGTCCAGAATGTTAATGTTCTGCGGTGGGATGTCCACATGGGAAAAGAAGTGCTTGTACATGAAGCTGTGGTAGGACTCGGGGTGATCGCGAGGCAGACCAACGTATTCATCCTGTATTCAGGAGTCAGTGGGTCGTTTTCTCTTGGATTGTTGTTGCGCATACCATGTTGAAAGTCACGACATTCTTGAAGGAGATCTCGCCGGCGCGATGACGCTGCACGAGGATCTTGTAGATGAGTTCAGGGCTGCTACCAGTAGGCACACCAAGCACGAATGGCTGCTCGGGGGTTGGATTGAACGACTTGATACGGCCTAAGGTAGAAGAGTTAGTCTCGGCATGGGTTTACGCGCATCAGCGCGAGGATCTGGGTTTCAGCTTACTGATAATGTAGTCTGCAATATACACAGACACTTCTGGAGGATCTTCTCTGATAATGACACGCCTATATTGAGATGCTAGCAGATTAGTATGGAGCGCAGAATGCGATACATAGAAGATGTCACGCACATAATTACGTCAGTGGATTGGAGTAGGGCTAAGAAGTATGGAAGAAGAAAAAAGGAAGGGAAGGAGAAATCTGGTATCTAAGGGAAAGAAAAGAGAACATTCAAGTAAAAGGGACCATATGGGTTACAATCTTGGTGGAGTGTACGACAGTGACAAAAGAGAACGTCGTATAGAGAGAAAGCCACGTGCAATATGGTTGCCCCCCCCCCCCCCCCCCCCCCCCCCCCCCCCCCCCCNATGACTGGACCTCAGATAGGGACTGGTTGACGTCGGGTTACCGCATGGATAAGGAAGACTGGTTTCTATCAAGGTCCACTCAGGTGTATTCCATGTGGCCCAACAATCCCAGAAGTGCGAAGATGCCGGAAAGAAAAACAAGGAAATAGGAATTATGATTGGACCGTTAAGCTCCATAGCACACATGGTAGTCTAAAGGTTCCATTTGAGAAGTGTAGGAGTTGCATCCGGTGATGTCGGTAAAAAGCTGGAGAGCATTGAGATATAGTGCCCAGTGCAACCCTGGCTGTAGGGTCGTAGCCGCCCCGGTATAGTATTGGTATTGGTATTGTATTGCACGTGACCGATGATTAGATCCGGATTACGGTTACATACAGATCACATGATTGCCATTTTGGGTGAATGATATTCATGGATGATCTTTAACTACTCCGTAGGTATTTTATATTTCTGTAGATGTACCTTGTATACTAAAATTTTACTTGCATCTAATTATAATTTTACAAGTATATAATATAATTATATACATAACTATACTGTACTCCGTTGTACTCCGTATATAATATAGAATATGCCAAGATATCCCGTGACCCCTACCAGCGGGGAACGCTGAGCTCCTATCTCCCTTATCTCTCTAGTCCCAATTCTTCCCCGACATTTGCGGCTCTGGGGGAAGAAAGACAAAGCTCCCGAGGTCCAATTTTTGACTCCTGTAACCCTTTTCCCCCTGTCACCTGACTACGCCCGCGTGCACTGGCTTCATATTTCTTACCTGTCAGACGTTTGCGGTGTCCACACCTTGGATCTCCCGACACTGCACCCTCTGCATCCTACCTTTCTGGGCCGCTGCAGGCATTCCTCCTCGGGCCATGGCCCGGAAAGAGGATATGCTACCCCCGAGCTGGGAGGACCTAGATAGGTATGTCGATCTCCTTCTTGGCTCATCCCCTATCGGCGTTAAGACTTCCCCCCCCCTCTCCCTTTACCCTCCCCCCCCCCTAAATCTACCTGTCGGGGTATCTCCCTTCACTGTGGAACCTAGTTATCAATCTGGGGATAAGGGTCTTTTAGACTATTTCCACTTTAGGAAATCTGAATCTGACACATCGAGCGCGCTGACATGGCACAGGCAGATGGGTCAGCTCTTTATGATGGGCTTTGATGGAACGTCGGTCAATCCACAGATTCGATCACTCATTGAGAATTATCACTTGGGTGCCGTGCTACTGTCTGCTAAAAATCTAAAATGTATCTTTTTTTTAAAGGGCCCTCCATCGCCAGTAACTTGGACAGTCACTGACGCGTTTATAGCGGCCGAGGATGCAACTAGATTGGTTCTGGAATTACAGACCATTGCGCGTGATGCAGGCCATCCCGTTCCGTTATTAATTGCCTTGGACCAGGAGAATGGTGGCGTCAACAGTTTATATGATGAGATATATATCCGCCAATTCCCTAGTACCATGGGCATTGCAGCCACGGGGTCCAAATCTTTAGCCCATGAGGTGGCTGTCGCGACAGCACATGAGCTCAAGGCCGTTGGGGTCAATTGGATCTTGGGACCCGTTTTGGATGTTTTGACCAATGTGCGCAATCAACCATTAGGCGTTCGTACCGCCGGCGATGATCCCCAAGAGGCGTCTCAATATGGTGTCCAGTTCATGAAGGGGTATCAAGAAGCAGGTTTAGTAACCTGTGGGAAACACTTTCCATCCTATGGTAATTTGGAATTTCTCGGCTCCCAGACAGATGTCCCAATTATTACGGAATCCCTGGAGCAACTCAGTCTAAGTGCACTTGTACCCTTTCGCAACGCTATAAGTCAGGGCCTGGACGCCATGATGGTGGGAGGTGTCTCATTGTCATCCGCTGGGATGAACGTGATGCACGCCTGTCTGAGTGATCAGGTGGTTGACGAGCTCTTGAGAAAAGATCTCCAGTTTCAAGGGGTCGTCGTTTCCGAATGCTTGGAAATGGAGGCGCTCACACATAACATTGGAGTAGGAGGTGGCACGGTGATGGCGAAGAACGCCGGCTGCGATGTCATCCTTTTATGTCGGTCATTCCCGGTCCAGCAAGAAGCCATCAACGGGTTGAAACTTGGCGTGGAGAACGGTATCATCGGCCGTCAGCGAATTGAACAATCGTTGCGCCGCGTTTTAGATTTGAAGGCACGGTGTACTTCGTGGGAACAGGCACTGAACCCTCCGGGGCTTTCTTTACTTACACAGATGCAACCATCGCATACCAACCTTTCCACCCGGGCCTACAACTCTTCTATCACAGTGATGAGAGATAAGAATAATTTACTTCCGTTGTCCAATGTGATCGAGGCAGACGAGGAACTTTTGCTTCTAACTCCGCTAGTCAAGCCACTCCCAACATCAGCGGTTTCTCTCTCGGTCGCAGAGTCTGCGCATGCGTCACTAGATCCATTATCTTCAGAACGCACTGCCTCAATTCTGAGTGGAGAGGGTGTCTTTAAAGAACTTGGACGATCACTCTCGCGGCAGAGAAATGGGCGCGTTTTGCACACCTCCTATACTTCCAATGGCGTGCGTCCCATCCACGAAGACCTCATCCAAAGAGCGAGTGCTGTAGTCGTTGTCACGGCAGATGCAAATCGCAATCTATATCAGCAAGGGTTCTCAAAACACGTCTCCATGGTCTGCCAATCGCAGTATACCTCATCTGGTGAACGTCGCGAGAGGCCATTGATTGTGGTGGCGGTTAGCTCGCCATATGATTTTGCCATGGATTCCTCGATCGGTACTTATATATGCACATATGACTTCACGGAAACAGCCCTTCAGGCATTGGTCAAGGTATTGTATGGCGACTTGACACCCTCAGCGGCCTTGCCCGGCTCCATCGGTCGAACGCAGAAGATTCATCAGTCTCGACAGCACTGGCTCGTCGAAAATTGGAACGAGGATCGCGATTCTTTCGCGTTAGATGCTCTGCTCGACACTATCCGTGCTGGCTATGCACTAGGCCAGCCGTCAGAACTTCTTGGAGCTACCGCTAGCAGCTTCTTGCTACGAAAGGAGGATATCGATGAAGCCCATTTCGTTGTCCGAAACAGTAGCACGCAAGCCCTCTATGGGTTCTGCGCGACCTACTTCTTTCGATCAACAGGTACTGGTGTGCTTGCATGTCTCATCGTGGACCCCTCTCGGAGGAAACTATCAATTGGGCATTCTCTCCACGGCCGCGCGATTCGGACTTTACTTCAACGCAGCGGGATGAAACGCTTCCAGCTAGGATCTCGATTACCAGGGATCTACCTTGGCATCCCGACCGTCAACCCTGTTGAGCGCAAGCGCCTGCGGCAGTGGTTCGCGAACATGGGGTGGAACACTGCGCTTTCGCGACCAGTGTGCAGCGTGATCCTGCGCAACTTATCGACATGGGTGCCGCCCGAAGGGCTCACTACAACCCTACAGAGTGCTGAGATCACATATGACCTCGTGTATGGCTGGGACTTTGCGCCCGCAATCCTCGATCACATTAAAACATATGCGCGGCAGGGTGTGGCCGACATCTACCGCATGGCTCTGGGTGGCGCGCCTAACTGCGGGATCATCCGGGCCAAGCGGCCCTCCGACGGGGCTATACTCGGGAGTATCGTGATCTACAATGAGCGATCTGCCTTGGCGGAGCACATGCCCGTGCTGCGCGCCACCCAAGCTTCTGTCGGAGGCATTTCGTCTCCGGTCATTTCTCCTTGCGGTGACGATTATTCCACGGTTATGCAGGGCCTGATCCTGCTAGCTATCAGGCAGATCCGGAAGTTGAGTGCCAATGCCGTGGTCATGGACTGTGTATGTTCTTCGTTTGTTCCTTCCCCCCCTCCCTCCTTTCCATCTAACAAATATAGGTTGACGGCGATGGCAACTTCGATAATCTCTCCACAATGGGCTTCACTATGCTACACAGCTTTGAGGAAGTGAACTGTGACGCAGCTACGTGGACGATGATGCATGCATAGTAGAAGAGATCAGACTTGATTCGATTCCGCTTTTCATTTTCTTTCTACCCTTTTCGGTTCTATTTTCCTCGCGTCTATGATATCCATATCGCATTGGGTTTGGCATTGATTTTATTCTATTTTCTTTTTTTTTTTTCCCAATTGGATCTGGTCCATTTTCTTTGTTTCACACGATCTGGTAACGGTTTCTCCCGAGGAGTTTCTTTTCACACATATTTTCATATTTTCATATTTTCTATTATTTGATTCATCGGGGGCACTCTTGAGGTAGGACAGAAAGTCTGTCCTGGCGTCATCTGGTCCAATGAAACAAATACTTCTATGATCACAGGGTTCCCACTGGCGATCCCACCGAGATATATATCTGTTATTATAGAAAAATGCAATTGTGAACGATTCAACGTGAATGTGTATCTTTTTTGATGTGGGGGATTTAGATTTGAATGAATCTCCAACAATCCATGGATTTATAACTATATCCCAGAAAACACCCGTGGATAATTATGTATACGTACACTCCATACTCCCGTACTTTTTTTCACCTAGTCCGTCGGCTTGAGTTCCACAGTTCCAAAGTGTGCAAGATTACGGAGTAATTAAGCCTGAAATATGAATTCTAATTACCTTTAGCTTTCAGAAGGCATCACAATTAAAGCCGAGATATTACTGGACCGGAGGTCCGTTGGAGCTTTGAAGGCTAAACTAGATTTACTGCACTTTGGACAATGCACTGGCACTTGTAACTTCAGGGTGGGTTTTATGGGGGAATTGGGG